ATGGCGAAAATATTTCTAATTTGATTTTGAACAAGGTACTTGGAGCCAATACATTTGTTTTGGTAGATATTTTGCAATCGTATTATAAAAAACTCAATAATTTCGTGATAAATTTGGCAATTGTTCTGTCATCGACCCTAAACCTGTTTGACCGACAATATGCACACACACGCAACAAGTCCTCACTTTATTGACCTACTTCCCAAAAGAAGGAGGTACTCAATTCGTCTGTATGTTTTTTTTATGTGTGTTTCGGCATAACCCCGCCGCTAGTGGACCGATTTTGATAATTCATTTTTTATCCGAAAGGTAGTGCTTGCAGGTAGGTCCCATTTTTTGTTTGATTTTTAGCATACCTGAAACGGAATTGAAATAAAACGTCACTGTTCCTTTTAAAATGGCTGCCTTAACGTAACAGATTATCTAGTTCAGCTATAAATAGTTATGTTAGCAATGAAGGGAATCGTGCCAGATAATTATATAATATCTTAAAATATATATTGTCTTTCAATACATTTACAAGCTAATTACTAAGCTCTGGCAACAAAGAAAATGATTAATTGTGTATAAGTTCCTGTTTAGGCATAAAAGTCTGGCCTACCGAGAGAGAGAAGCGGGCGAGTTTAACATAACAGTTCTTTAAGACCAAAGACATTTAAAAATATATAGACGAGGCATATCAACTATGCCACCTCTAAATATTTTTTAATCTTTAACCAAGAAGTGAAGCTGAAGTGAATTATAAGACACGTAAGAAATACCAAACTATATGGCACGAACTACCGGTCGTTGGTTCCCGCTATTCGATGTGGTTAGGGCACCTTCGATGCTAACGGGATACAGTACAGTAGCATCGACTTAATTTGTTACGCATCATTTATCATTGAGAACTAAATAAAATATCGGATAAAAGCCTTTCGAATCATCTGGTCATATTTTACAGGTAAAATGTTCCAAATATATGCATAGCCTTTAAGCCGTATAGAATTGAAATAAAACAAAAAAATACAATCAAATAAAATCACTTCTAAAAACGATTTGCCGATCTATGGTTAAAGATAATTGCTATCATGTTTTATGAAGGCACATAGAATAGAACATCCAACATAAATGTACTCCCTTTCACGTTTTTTTTAAATAATTTCATACAAAAATATAAATACAATTGACTATAATCTGTCAATGAAACCCCACAAAACCATTAGTGTCACTTTGTCCGCGGGTGCGGAGTTTTGGATCTATGACTAAAGTGAAAAAGTTAACCCAATATCATACAATTCTAAACATTCATTCGAAACAAGAATTCCTACTAGAATTTAGTAGAATATAGAAAAATATCTAAATGTGACTGAATTAGTAACACAGATTTAAAATTAAGGTTCCTGGAATTTTATAGTAGCAACATTAAGACACAAAAATTGCCTATATCGATATTGCAGGCGTTTCTGTATCTTCACCGTTTATCGCATTTATACGAAGCCGAAAATAATTATCTTTTTACAAAAGTGTATGTATTTGATTTTTTTAATGTGCCCTATTTAATTGCCCCACTTATAGTAATCAACTTGATATCAAGTTACTGTTTAAAATAAACAACACAAAAGAAGTTCACCTAAAGAATAAAAATGGTGTGATAAGATAATAACGTTAACCACGATCGATAGAGGTCTTGCAACATAGAATTTCCACCAAAGATTATTGTAATATTTAGAAAGAATTAGACAATTTTTTACCATTATAATAAATGGGATATACTCAATACTTTAACAGTCTCCGCAAACCAGTCTTAATCGACAGATAGTTTGATTGGGTCGGGCTGATAGCTAGATATGAAACGAAATCGGTGAAATGCGTATACATGCTCATGATTAAACTATCGGCCGTTTAAATCTGTAGTTTACGATGGTTTTTATAGCAGAAAAAATGTAGATCGTGGAAATGTAAAAAAAGGAAAATTTTTAACTATGTTTACAATTTTTTACTCTATGATATTGTACTATAAATTAAGTAGGTTTTTTGTTATTATTTTGATAGTCATAGAGATAGCCGCGACTAATTAATAGTGGCCGGCGCGATGTGCCAGCTTTGCGATGTAATAACAGTAGTTATATTCGTTATCAAGAAATGTTACAGATCAAGGACCGATATTAGTGCGCTTGATAGACATTCTTATCTCACTTTAATTCTATGGTTTTCTAGATATAAAAAAGGAATGATTGAAAATTAAGAGAATTTGAAAAAAATTAATAATTTTCAATAATAAAGATAGATTTGATGTTTAAATGTTTTTTTTACTATCACTTACCAAATAACGTTTACGTCGGTCGACAACTAAACAACTATATTTTGGCTGAATTGTCTTTTTTAAGCCTTCTTTTAGCCCATTTATATGCCTGCAAAACATTTTATAAGTACTAAATATACATAATATCAAGGATTATTTCGTTGGCTGCATACTGATGAAACAGATTTGTTAATTTGACGACGTAAAAAGGGGAAGTTAATGTATTTTTGTATGTTACGAAAAAAATCAAAAAATACTGTACCGTATTACGAAAATTATTGTACTATTAGAAACTAAAGTTATCACCGAGTAATATGGGCAATATTCATTACTAGCTGTTACTCGCGACTTTGTCTGCGTGAAATTAAAAATAATAAAAAATATGCTATGTTACTCACTATTAACGTAGCTTTTTAATAGTGAAAGAATTTTTGAAAGCAGTAAATCCAGTAGTTTTTGAGTTATTATAATACATACAAAAATCCGATAATACGAAGCTTTCCTCTGTATAATTTTAGTAGATTTTTTTAAATCCTATGCAAAGACGCAAGGAAAAGTTAGTTATCCTATATACTCATACTTACGGAAAAATACTTTATAACTACTGGCATTAGAAATGAAATATCATCGTTGGCTATACAAACGGAAGAAACGCGCATCGTATTGATAAACTCGTAGATAATAATATAGTAAGGAACGTAACTTTGAACAATACAAACAAGAGCTCGAGTGAGCTAGTTATCTTATAGTCGTCTCTTAAAGTGCACGTGTACAATGCGTTCCGAAATTATATTTATTATTTTAGTATTTGCGAGATATACAGAATGTGCAAGAATCCTCGGTCTGTTCCCTCACATCGGAAAAAGCCACTACATGGTCTTCCAACCTCTACTCCGAGCGCTGGCTGATCGCGGCCATGATGTCACAACAGTTTCGTTCTTCCCGCTTGAAAATCCGCCACCGAACTACAAAGATGTAAGCCTTGAAGGTGTTGCGGATCTAGGATTGGAGTTACTAGATTTATCACTATTTGAATTCGCTCCCGTTTACATGAAGATACCGGTTTTCAGCGTGTTTCTGAAGGCTAAAGTGGAGATTAATATGTTAGGGGAAATAGGGTTGGGTGTTTGCGAGCAATTAGTAAAGTTACCAAGTTTGGCTGAAGTTATGAAGAAAGAATATGATCTTATAATTACGGAAAATTTTGTAAGCGATTGTATGATGGGCCTTTTACACGTTTACGGGAATAAAGCACCTGTGATCGGTTTGTCATCTAGTATTTTTATGGCATGGGTACATGACAAATATGGTGTAAATGACAATCCATCCTACGTCCCCGTTATCACTTGTCCATATTCGACGAAAATGAATTTCTTGCAACGATTAGGAAACTTCGTCGTGAATGTATACTCTAAATATTGGTTTCAAGAATATATGCAAAAGGAAGAAAGAGCGATAATTGAGAAGCATTTTAATACGAAGATTCCGGAATTAGAGGAGATATCGAGAAATCAATCAGTTTTAATATTAGTGAATAGTTTTCCGACACTGAACGGGGCCAAGCCGACGGTGCCGTCTGTTATTGAAGTAGGTGGGATGCATCTAGATCACACAAGGAAACAGTTGCCGTCGGTAAGATTCAAAACATCAATTTAATTCGTATTGCACGTGTAAATTGTTGTGCAAAATGATTTGAGTTCCTACGACAAACGAAACCTAAAACAAACTAAAACAAAATTTCTGAAGATCGAATTAGGCTGTGTATCTTCTTTTCTAGGAAGTTGGCTTGTGGTTAGCTCGATATAAATCATCTAACACTCATTTTAATTTATTTTAATGTTTGGTGTTATATTTTTTCTTTTGTCTTCGAAGAGTTAACTGATTTTAGAGACGTTATGGCATGACTAGGAAATTTCTTGAGAACAATAGTTTAACGTGGACCGCCTATATTCAGTATAGAACGTTTTGTCACAAATAATGATGATAAACACATTTAAAAATGCTAACGTAGAATAACTTGCTAAAAACGAGTGATGTGCCTTATCATAACAGATAATACACAAGTCATGTTTTAACATCAAAATTCGTTTCCGCGGATACGGATACACTGCGGATGAAAAAAAAATGTTATTTTGTCACGATTCTTTTAATTTTGACTGACTTCAAAAAACTCAATACATCTGTATGTTATTTTTATAAGTGCGTAGCGCATAACTCCGCCCTTCGTGGACCGATTTTGAAAATTCTATTTTTATCCGAAAGATAGTGCATGCATGTGGGATCCATTTTTATTGAAACATGTGACTTGAGGTTATTGACGCGATAATACGATCAATAATAGCTACAAGCCAGTTCTCTTAATGTATAAAATGGAGGAAAGATCACGGAAAAATTATGTCGCAATCCTCATGAGACGAGATCAGTAATAACGATAGGAATAACACACCAAATGTTAGTCATTTAAACCGCATTTCCACTAGCATATATAAAGAGGTCTAGATTAGCCGTACGGAATTTGGAGTAAACCAACTGAAACGTTGATTACTTTACGAACTAAATCTATAAAATATTGTAAAATCTAAGTTTTCGCGCCTTAAAAAGACTGAATGGGTGATAAAAATTGAACACTAAGTATAATAAGGCTAGTAAACGAGAACACTATGCGTAATTCTTAAAATAGCACTCTATAATACAGTCGGTCACGTAATAAGCAACGTACGTGTGGCGATAGTATTCCTGACGACGCGGTCGGGGAAACGCGCGCGATGCGGGGACAAATGTTTCTCTCTGTTCTGTGTCTAGTGCTCTTTTCTCATGTAAACTGTGCGCGGATACTCGGCCTTTTCCCTCATCCTGGGAAAAGCCATCAAATGGTCTTTGAACCACTTTTAAGGACGCTAGCAGAACGAGGGCACCATGTAACTACAGTTTCGTTCTTCCCACTCAAAAATCCACCTGAAAACTACACCGACATAAGTCTGGAAAACACATCAGAAGTGCTTTTAGAATCATTGGATCTAGCATTATTTGAGAACAACGGTGTCATCTCGAAGATACCAGTATTGAGACGGATTTTGGGGTTAATGTTCGAATTTCAACCTTTGGCACATTTCGCTTTACAAGTATGCGAAAATATGATAAAATGGGAACCGCTGGCTAATGCTTTAAAGAAGGAATACGATGTTGTTTTAATGGAAAATTTTAACTCTGATTGCATGCTTGGATTGTTACATATTTACGGAAATACAGCACCGAAAGTAGCTTTGTCCTCGTCTAATCTTATGCCGTGGTCTGCGGAAAGAATAGGACTGATAGACAATCCCTCTTACGTCCCGATGGTTTCCACTGGCTTTACTTCTAGAATGTCCTACGCTGAACGTCTTGAGAATACCTTTTTAAGTGTGTTTTATAAATTCTGGTTTTATAATAATGTGCAAGTGAAAGAACGATCTCTTATAGAGAAACGTTTTCGTAAAGTTATACCGGATTTAAGGGATCTGTCGAGAAATTATACTTTGACTTTTGTGAATACTTTTCATGCGTTGAACGGGGTACGGCCACTTCTACCGGCGTTGGTTGAAGTCGGTGGAATGCATCTGGATCATACGGAAAAAACTTTACCACCTGTAAGTTAAATAAAATACGAACTATAACACTTCCAAAACAAAAAAAAAATAATAAAAACGAATCACCATTCTATTTCGTCATCGTGGCTTTCGATACCATACAAGCGTAACACAGATTAAGTTACTGCTAAAACCCGCTACATACGCTCAATATTAACTGAACATGCGACCTCTTCAGTTAAATCTGCAAAACTTTAACTATACAATACAACTGACAGTATAAATTGCCTACAGGTTCAGTTTTAATTAAATAGTTCGACTGTCCAGTTAATATTTAACATCTTTGGCGGACTAATACAAATTGAAAACAATAATCTTTACAATAATTTCATTTTGTCCAAAATAAACATAAAACCTACGTTTTAAATTCGAGTATATTAAAACTAAACAAATGTGTTTTTTTCGTCTTTCGAAAAGATAAAATATTTAATTAAGGAAGGGATCACTAGGAGTTTATATCAAGGCAAAGGTTCCGGTGTGTTCCTTGGTGGTCCGGAACCTTCAACTGCGACACTAGATGGCCACCGAAGGGGTTTTAGTGGGTGAAATCCTATATAACCCTGCCTTCCTCCTAAAAGACAAGGTATCTTTTGAACATTTCCCCCGAAACCAAAAAAGGAGTTAACATGAAAACCAATATCCATTTAAGATACGAGTTGTATGGTATGTGCGTTTGTTCGAAATGTATGAAAAACCATATACAACTAATAAAGTTTAAAGTATCGTGATACATTACTTTAAGCGAAAATTAAAAACGGCTCAACTCACGCTTTTATCCTCCGGTGACGGCACCGACTAGGCGGCGGCGAGGCGCGACGTGACCGCGAACAAAAGCTAATTAATACTCGCCCTGAAGAAGGACTCACGAAGGGTCTGAAACAAGTCGGTGCCGTCACCGGAGGATAAAAGCGTGAGTTGAGCCGTTTTTAATTTTCGCTTTAACTAGTGTTGTATAGTTTATAAAGGTTTGTGTTTTGTTTTCACGGATAGATATTGTCCTTAGCTGTCACGAACACTATTAAATGTTCAGATAACCTCCTCCACTCTTTATCATTAATGACGATGCGTTTATCACAAAGACACGTCATTTTAAAACAGTACACGAGTTCTTAATGTGATCAGAAATTCAAAAAGAATATTTTGACCTAAATGTAAAGCCCAGAAACAAAATAAATATACATCTGATGTATTTAGTTTTTAACACCGTTCCAGTTACTTAACAGCTTAAGTAAATTTCAATTTGTTGGTTTAAAAATTTTTCATTTCAGTGTTCCACCATACAACTTCCTAATAGATATGTGAATGTAAAATACGGTAATAATATTGTTTTACATAAAAATAAAATATAATAAGTGTATGTTAATTAATATACTTAACTTGCCCATGTTGGTATCGTAATTGCTATCACGCGTTAAGGAATTGTTGGCTTTTTTATTTTTTTTTCTTATTTAAATAAAAAAATGTTTAATTATACAAAGAGTTATAAAAAAATCAGCGTTGTTGTTTATGCTTAGAGTACGTATTAGAATAACAGTTTTTTTTGTTAACAAGGTATCGTTTTAGTAAACAACTAGCTGTTGCCCGCGACTTTATCCACGCTATATTAAGATAAAAAGTATCCTGTAATATGCCCCTCTATATCAGCTACCCTCCTGAAGTCCAGTCGAAATCGGTCCAGCTGAACAAACGCGGCTTGCGGACAGACAGGCAGACAAAGAATTTTTAAATGCGATCTTTATTATTCGCAACACAAATACACCATCTTCCCGAGATCTGGGATTTTTCTTTTGATTTTACAGACACTTCAATTTTATGTATAGTTAAAAAAACTAAAATCAGTCAGTAACGTTTCCAAAATATTACGTCACGTCCCGTTGGTTCGCCACCCTTGACATTTACGTTATTACCATCATGAAAATTCGAAAATCACATTGGTACATAGCGGGATTCGAACCCAAGGCCTAGAGTAAACCACTAAGCCACCGGCACTCTATTTAAGTAGTTAATTAATCGCAACATATATTTTGTCTGTCTACTGTACATACAGCACGTTTGAATGATTAGTATTTATTTGATAATTACACATTCGAATAATAATGTCCATGATGATATATTTTATCATATTACATTTACTGCATTAAATATTCTAAAACTTTTTTATCAATCGTTATCAATCTCGAAAGATTTAATAGTAATATTAATAAATTGATAGAATATTAGAACTAGGCCTATCAATATACCAGTATTATACAGAGGAAAGATTTGAATTTTGGATTGTTGCATGTAGTGAAATGTCTCAAAAACTAATCGGCCAATTTCAAAAATTTATTATTACAACACTAGGTTCAATGAGTAACATAAGCTTTTTGATATTTTTTTAATTACACGCAGACAAAGTCGCGAGCAACATCTAGTTTTCAATAAACGTAAAAAAACACCGAAATCAAACTCGTAGCCCGAAATCAAACTCAAATAGGTAGCAGCCCTAATAATAATTAGGTATTTTAATTTTAATTTTTTCTTTCCTTCCAGTATATCGAGAAGTTCCTGAACGAATCAGAACACGGGGTGATCTTGTTGAGCTTCGGGTCCTTGATCAAGACGTCAACCATTCCCAAGTATAAGGAGGATATCATAGTAAACGCGCTGTCCAAGTTGAAGCAGCGGGTCATCTGGAAGTTCGAGGGGAGCGGGGAGGAGGGAACACTCACCGGCAATATCCTCAGAGTCAAATGGCTTCCTCAGTATGAACTGCTACGTAAGTTCACATCTGTGTTCATGATAAATAGCTACATATTATTAATAATTTATTTTATCATATAAAATAATTATAATTATAAAATAATAAAATAATTACAAATTTAATATAAAACACATAAAAATGAATAGTCATAAATATATACATGTTGAATTTTTTTTGGCACTATATTAAATCTAAATTGTCTTGACATTTCTTACAGACATCAAGGAAAAGGCGTACACCAAATATTGAATAATAAAAATGTTTTCTACATAGTAAACTAATTAAAAACTACTAAAAAGACATTCTAATGTTCCGATTACTCTAACTAATGCTAACCGGGTAATAATCATGTTCTCGGTATCTTTATTATCTTTGAACTTTTTATGAGCAAAAAAATTGATGAATATAAAGGTGATTTACGTTAAATTCAACTGTAATTAAATATCTACTAATATAATGATAATGTATTATGTAGCCGCGGTAAAGGTGAAAAACACGAATAATTATAACAAGACTGACCTTTAAAACAGCACAAAGTTAATTCACATAAATTAATTTGAATTACCTGAATTAAAATAAAGCTGGCAGTTAGCACGTGTTATTGAAAAAAAAACTGACGAATTGATATCCTCTTTCTTTTGGGAAATTGGTTTAAAAGCGTTCCAAATAAAAATATCCATATTGCGCCATATTGTGACGTCATAATTTTCTCGAAAATCAATGACGAGCAGTGACTATAGAGTAAGAATAGTAAAACGTTTTTAATTGCATTATCTGTGGTAAAACATAAAATATTCATGTCTATTTTTTTCTTCAATCTGCATGTTTGAGGTCAAAGCTTTCTAGGTATTTTTCCAAATTATTTTTTGTTGAAATCCATAGTTATAGCGATGTTTGCCAGTTCAAGGATATTGCCGCGTGCAAATTTTTTTTTACTTCTTTTTTATTTTTTTTATTCTTTACTCATGCAAAGATAAAGTGTAAGTGGTCCAATTGGACGATTCAAAACATTTTCAATGTAATGTTTCAACGAAATTTACCCTTTTTATAAATCAATCTCAACATGTCATACTAAAATGAACTACACGAAGTTCTCATTATTTTTATATTTATTCACAGAACACAAAAAAGTAGTAGCATTTATCGCTCATGGCGGTTTGCTGGGTATGACGGAGGCGATCTCTGCCGGCAAGCCGATGGTGGTGGTGCCGTTCTTCGGAGATCAGCCTGCCAACGCCGCGGCAGCCGCTGACGCCGGCTTTGCTACCGTCGTGCCTTATATTGAACTCACCGAAGAAAGACTTACCAAAGCATTGGAGACTGTGTTAAGCGCAGAGTAAGTCGAATTTATTACATAATTATAGTTAGTTTATAAATCAAGGTTTTTAAATTAACCTCACGCTATTAGTGTGTCGTGACATAGCCATCTTTTAATAAAGTTTTGTTAAATAATACGACATGGTCGTACTTACTACTTTTTTTGTTTGAATTTCGCATGGGTAGACGCATTTTAATTTTTTATGAAACAAGAAAAAACTTTATTTGTCACGAATTACTTTACAGCGCTGGAAAAATTTATCTTAAATATTTTACTAATTTACACAATAATTTTCTTTTATGTCTAACACTTGGAAGTTTCGCAAGTAACAGTTAAAAACTATACATAAATTCTTTTGCAGAACCAGATTAAATGCCCGTCGCGTATCGAGCATTTGGCGCGACAGACAAGCAGACCCTCTAGAGACAGCGGTGTATTGGACTGAGAGAGTGATACGCTGGGGCCATCATGCGCCACTGCACTCGCCGGCAAGAGACATGCCTTTGTATCAAATCGCCTTACTAGACGTTATCGCCACATTAGCTGTCGCCATCTTGATCTTATTGGCGATATCATGGTACATTTTGTCCAAAGTATTTCGATTTTTATTTGGTAAAGAAAGTAAATTAAAAATGCATTAGTTTGGTAATGAAATAATAGTGAGAGTTGCTTTAATTATTTTGTTATTGTTCAATTTAAGAGTTAAAATGTGGTCTAATGTTAAGTAAGGTTTGACTAATCAATATTTATTATTTCTATTGCTTTGTTTTATGATATTTCGATTTATTTAAGCATCCATTGCTGGACTTCGAATAACCCCAAAGATATTTATGGACTCCTTTGATATTGGAACAAGAAATAGATAGGTGCCAAACGAGCAAGCGCTCGTTTGCCACCTTATATTATAAAAAAAAATGAGATTGATTTCCGATTTCTTCATTATATCACATTAGCAATCATAACCGATGACATTATTTCGGAGGTCCGTTTATTGTAGTTATACAAGTCGATGTTAATAATTTACAAAGTAATGATTGAAGATTTCATCATAATTTGTTGCTAAATTGCGTTGTTATAATATTCCACTAACTAGTTAGATTAGTAGAACAATCAATGTGATTTTAGTTTAATAGGTTATGTATTTTTACTATATTGTTAAATGTACTTCAAACAAAAGTCTTGTTACAAAAACAAATTCCAAAGGTGCTACAATCCGTGTTCGCTTGTTGTTATAGTTTTGTCAATTTATGTTATTAATTTTAAACATTAATTACATTTATCGTTTTAAATTAATTTAATTGACAGTTTTAAGAGCAATATTCAAATAATAAATTAGTTATAGTTCAAATTCAAACACAAGTTTTTTGTTACAACAAGGTTAATATGTGTTTTCTATGATCATGTTCATAAACTGTTGACTAATAAAATGACTTATAATTACTGTATCGTTTATATTGAATAACCTTGTATACTTACAGATGACAGCTAACAACTAAAGTTTATCTATACAAATACTGAAATTGTAGTGTCTGTAATATCAAAACAATAATTCCAGATTATGGGAAGATGATGTAATTGAGTTGGTGATAACTGTGCTGTCTGTCTGTCTGTCCGCAAGCCGGATTTGTCCGGTTAATCTCTGAAACGGCTGCACCGATTTCGACCGGACTTCTCCTAAAGCATAGCTGACGTAGACGGGCATATTATAGGCAACTTTTTTATCTTAATATAGCGTGGACGAAGTCGCGGGCAACAGCTAGTTATAACTAAATTCAAAAGATTTGTAAGCTGTTGCATTTTAAATAGTGTAAATTCTCTATAACATTACTAAATGATAACTTATTAGTTACGAGTTATTACTCGTTGATTTATATTGTTCTCTATTTAATAATACATTCTTTATAGCGTGGAAATTGCTTAAAAAGATTACTTTATTTTTTATTAGCACGTGTTAATCTCTACTGAGTTACCGAAGATTGTAAGAGAATAGCTCTTGGTTTATTTTAGTAAACATTGATGTTATTTAGCATTTAAGTACTAAGCACGTAGTATAACAAGGAAACTAGACAACAAAGGGCGCGAATGTTACGCATGGTAACAAACTTTGGCCTGTACTCATTTTTAAGGTGTCTAGACTTTTGTTATAACATCATTATTAGCAATTACTTAGAAATATTTGCACTGTAATAGTGCTTAGCGAGTTAAGGAAGTTATTTGTGTATTGATAAAAAAAAGTTTTATTAATACGCTCAATCGAGACAGGGAAAGATAACATTAATCTACGAGTATATCTAAATTAATGTTATAAAGAGACAATAGTTGTGTTTCTGTAGTAACAAATAAACTCAACGTTTTCTCCGCGCACATAAGTAATAATAGTAAATACATATTATTATAGAAAACACTAACATAATCCTGTAGTTTTCTACGTTTAAGTCCATATCCTATATCGTTGCCGATGAAGATGCTTAGCGTTATTGGATTACCTTCCGATGAAAGTTATATAAAGCAACCCAATACCTATGGTCAGTAGCTTTAACGATTATTGCTCAATTCTAAATTATTATCATGGTTTCGGTTCCTTATCATAATTCAATATATTCACAGAGATGTTTTAAGAATTCGCAAGTCATATCCTTTTGATAATCACTTTAGGCGGAAGACGTACATTATTCGCCTTATGAGACGAGGCAGTATAGTGACAGACGTGTGGTAAGAAACTTGTGCGCGATGCTGAATCATATAATTCTGTTAATCCTGGCGACGCTAGCCAGTCGCGACGTAGGCGACTGTGCACGCATCCTCGGACTTTTCCCTCACACCGGCAAGAGCCACTTTATGGTCTTCGAGCCCCTTTTACGAGCGCTCGCTGAACGCGGTCATCATGTTACTACCGTCTCCTTTTTCCCGCTCAAAAATCCACCATCGAATTACACGGATGTGGTAATCGAAGGTGCTATGCAAGACGGTCTGAGCTCGTTAGATATGTCCATGTTCGAAACATCTACTCCGCTGATGAAAGTTCCACTTTTAAATACAATACTAAAGAATATATTCGAAATGGAAATGTCCGCACCATTAGCCTTGGCGACGTGCAAAAGTATTATACGTCAGTCATCTGTGATAGAAGCCTTTAAGCAAAAGTACGACGTGCTTATTGTAGAAAACTTCAACAGCGATTGCATGCTAGGACTTGCCCATGTTTTCGGTATTAAAGCGCCCATCGTAGGTATTTCGTCTTGTGCTATCATGCCATGGACTTACGCCAGATTCGGTTTACCTGATAATGCCTCTTATATTCCCTTGGTAACTACAGCATACTCAAGTTATATGACGTTTATTCAACGACTGGATTCATTTATTTCGAAATTGTACGTGGACGGCATGTACCATATGATACAAAATAAAGAGCGTTCTGTGATTGAGAAGCACTTTGGTGTCAAGATTCCGGACTTGGAAGAAATAGGCAAAAAACAAACATCAGTGTTGTTGGTGAATACTTTTCCCACGCTTAACGGGGTTCGACCCACTTTGCCATCTATTATAGAAGTTGGAGGTATGCATCTAGATCATTCAAGAAAAGTATTACCATCGGTAAGTTTAAATTATTACACAAATAATCAATGCTTGTCAATGATATTGGTGTTGATAGGACATTACTTACATGTCAATAATACCGTAAGTGATAAAACATAGCTGAGAAAAGAAGCAGTATTTTCTAGCGTATAAAACTTTTTATCGCCTATCACCATCTAGCTGTCTTTAACCCACTCTATGTGTGCACCGGCAACAGAACAGATTGCCATCTTGCAGATCAATCTATGGGTTGTTACTACTTTATTAATCATGCTATGAAAGATGTAATATAACTATGATTTTATTTCTTACCAGTATATCGAGAAATTCCTCAACGAGTCGGAACACGGCGTCGTACTTTTGAGCTTCGGTTCTTTGATCAAGACGTCTACCATTCCCAAGTACAAAGAGGACATCATAGTGAATGCGCTATCCAAGTTGAAGCAGCGGATCATCTGGAAGTTCGAGGGGAGCGCGGAGGAGGGCACGCTCACCGGCAACATCCTCAGAGTCAAATGGCTGCCTCAGTATGAATTGCTACGTAAGATTTTCGCATATTCTTCATTTAACATATTAGAATTATTTCAAATGTAAAATGATCTTGCATAATACTAAGAATACAGTGCTAAGTTCTTTAATACTGACCATCGTTTTTTCTGATGATTGTGAAACAGAGCACAAGAAAATAATAGCTTTCATATCACATGGCGGTCTATTGGGCATGACGGAGGCGATCTCTGCCGGCAAGCCGATGGTGGTGGTGCCGTTCTTCGGGGATCAGCCCGCCAACGCCGAAGCGGCGGCTGTCGCTGGCTTAGCTACCACTGTACCCTACATTGAACTCACAAAAGAAAGACTTACTAAAGCATTAGATTTTGTGATGAGCGATGAGTAAGTTAAGTTTTTATTTTTGTTCAAACAAGAAAGTTTAAAAACTAACAGAAAAAAACATAAAAGCATGCAGAAGAAAGAAAATACTCTTTACAGTGTTTTGTACACTTAGATTATCTATTGGGTATCTTGAAATTTTAAAGAGATTTTACAATATTAAATTTATCTTAAATTGAACTGTTTATAAAAGTTATTTTATTTTCAGAACTAAATCAAATGCCAAACGCGTATCGAGCATTTGGCGCGACAGACAAGCGGACCCTCTAGAGACAGCGGTGTACTGGACTGAGAGAGTGATACGCTGGGGCCATCATGCGCCACTGCACTCGCCAGCAAGAGACATGCCTTTGTACCAAGTCGCCTTACTTGACGTTATCGCCACATTAGCTGTCGCCATTTTTATTTTATTGGCGATATCATGGTACATTTTGTCAAAAGTTTTTCGACTTTTATTTGCTAGAGAAAGTAAATTAAAAATGCATTAGTTATAAAACTAAATAATAGTGAGAGCTTCTTAACGCAACATTTTGCATCATTTACGCAATATATGGTCTGTTTTTAGTGATTAAGTATGACTAAACAATATTTATCAACAACATTGCGTTACGTATTTTTATATTAACACTAGCTTTTGATCGCGACTTCCACTGACCGTGAGGAATTAAAATAATCTAGTAATAGATGTGTACCTTATCAACTTTAAAAGCATTTGTCAAATCAGTTTAGTACGTTTAAAATCTTTTCAATAAAAACAAACAATCAAAGTTTCTTATAGATAATGAATTGCTAAAATCCATTATCAATATATAAGTATACACATACATCATGGATTTGTACAAAATGGCCACTTATTTACCAATTTGTATTGTAAAATTACACTAGTTATATTAGAAACACAATAAATTTGATTTTAGGTAAATAAATGATGTATTGTTATTTTTAGATATTACTCATTGTACACTAAGCTGGTAATAATTCATAAATTCCTTTTTTTATATGATAAGATACATGTTTTACATTTTTATGTAATTAATAAATTTGTTTATAAAGATAATTGATTTTATTTCCGGGCCTCATTCTTATTCACTTTATATTTCAGAGCTATTGAATGATTATTTCGTTATTATTTTTGACTAATATACTACAATATTGCACTTTTTAGTATAATAAAAAACCTTAAAGTTTAACAGTGGCGTAGCGAGCTTAGCTCGCGCCCGGGACACGATTCCTTTTTAACGCTCCTTTTCCTCAAATCGAAAAACATATAATTTTTACATCTAAAATATACTCGCAAATTAATTAAATTACATTTTTTTATTATTTTTATTACATATTGAATATTATTGAATATTTAATACATATTGAAGTTAAACTAATTCGCAAAGAAATTAAATTTTTGTCACTTTGTCTGTGTGTTTGTGGGAGCTAATCTCACAAGCGGCTTAACAGATTTTAATTCAATTTACACTGTCGTGTTGTTATAAGCACCACTTAATATTTATTGCCATTTTAAGCCGATAGGTGTATATTAATTGAAAATGATGTTAGTTATTATAAATTGCAATATAAAGGTTTTTCTATTATTATTTTTATTAATCCTAAGAAATAGACCACAATATATTCAAGGAGCTTCTTCACTTTGAAGTGTGAGGATATGGGCGACTGTCCACTTTTTCCATACCTTTCTCTACCTCTGCATTGTTGGTTCGCGGCAAATTTAATTCGAATTGGTCAAATCAAACACCTGTATTCCAATGTATTTTATCATATAAAAGGATCATTTTAAAGCGTTTGTTGCTTGACAGCCGCCAATGCCATATTTTAACGACTTTAAAACAGCGCTTGCGCAAGCAGCGATTGTGGGCGTAGGTGTTTACTTATTTTTTATTTCTGTAAGAGAATTTTGCCACCCCCTAAAATTATCCGCCCAGGCTCCAACCTCCTTAGCCTGCTAGCAAATCCGCCCTTGAATTGATAAGACTACGATAAGATACGGTGGTTTACATTCGTAATATTCCGTTTTATTTACGAAGAATCATTTATTATATGTGTATTGGCACATAATTTAGTATATTTTACAGAAATCAGTTATATTTATTTTCGCGGACCATTTGGCGCCCCCTAAGAGCTACGTCCGGGGCAAGATGCTCCCCTTTGCTCCCCCTTCGCTACGCCACTAAAGCTTAGTCCCTTATTGCACCATGCTAGCAGCTGTAATCTAATTTAAAAGAAAGGGAGGTTATGAATATCAAAAATATCTATTAAACGACTATTAGTTTTTAACGATTTAATTTTAAAAATATAACCTATTATTAATGAATACATGTTTTGAATGAATGACTCACGCCTATATAATCGTAACGTTGTGATGATATGTATATAGAAGTATCTAGAACTTCACGTAGTAAAATTATGATGATGTAATGTGTGAGCATTACAAATTGTTATAATCAATAATTACTTGCATATTATAGATGTTATCTTTTGATGTTAAATTTATAAGCATGAGTACATAAAAAAATCTATTATCTATATACTATTGACTATGAAAATGATACCAATTACAAATTAATGGTTCAAAATATTTTGGAAGAAAAGGTGGAAAGAACCATCTTTTTGCTCCAATAACACACCTAACGCTACAGTCCATCACCAAACTGAGACAAATAATAAAACATTAATAGCTTGTATTTAAAAAGTAACCCAACAAATAAATTTATATATGATCAACGTCTAAATAAAATGATGCTACAATAACAGAAATCTTGAGTTCATTTTACATATTTATCGATAATCTGAAAATAAAAGAGTTCCGTAAATTATTTTCTAAAAATATTTGATGAAACATGCTGATGAAGAAGCGTTACGAAAGCTTTCGCTGTAAAATTTTCTCGTGTACTTGACAATCTAAAGAAACAGTATTCCGAGGGCCACCAGATTGAAAAATAATTGTAAATCAGAGCTTGATATCTGTGTCTCGGCCACTTATCAAAACTCGAATACCCAATTACATATTTTGATGTGTTGTTCCTATTTTAAAACTTGCAAGTCACGACTTATTGATAATAAGTTTATAGTGAAGACGTACATTAGTAGCCACATGAGACAAGTTTAGACAGTTCTTTGAGAAGCGTAGTGTTAGAAACGTGTGCGCGATGCGAATTTATATAATTCTGTTATTACTGGCCACGCTCGCCAGCCGCGACGTAGGCGACTGTGCGCGGATCCTCGGTCTTTTCCCCCATACCGGCAAGAGTCACTTCATGGTCTTCGAGCCTCTTCTACGAGAACTCGCTAAACGCGGTCACCATGTTACTACTGTCTCCTACTTCCCGCTTAAGAGTCCACAAGCGAATTACACGGACGTGGTACTCGAAGGTGCGGTACATGATGGACTGAGCTCAATTGACTTATCCATGTTGGAAATGCCCAATCCACTCATGAAGATTCCTTTACTGAATACAATAGTATTGAATGCAGTCGGAATGGTAATGTTGTCCGGATTTGCGTTAGAAACATGCGAAAGGATTGTACGTCAGTCATCTGTGATAGAAGCCTTAAAGCAAAAATACGACGTGGTTATCGTAGAAAAATTTAACAGCGATTGCATGTTGGGACTAACTCATGTTTTCGGTATCGAAGCTCCTATCGTAGGTATATCGTCATGTGCTATCATGCCATGGACTTACGCCAGATTTGGTTTACCTAATAACCCCGCTTATATTCCCTTCTCAACTACAGCATACTCAAGCAATATGACGTTTATACAACGACTGGACACGTTTATTTCGTATTTATACATGGATAATTTATTCCACAATATGATACAGAAGAGAGAACAAGATATTATTGAGAAGCACTTTGGTGTGAAGATCCCGAACTTGGAGGAATTAGGCAAAAAGCAAAGTTCCCTGTTGCTGGTGAATACTTTTCACACCCTTAACGGAGTTCGTCCCACTATACCAGCTGTTATAGAAGTCGGGGGAATGCATTTAGATCATTCTAGAAAAGAATTGCCTCCGGTAAGTTAAAATTAATTATGATCACCAATTCTCAAATTAAGTAAACCTTGGAGTAAGTAAAATTTATGGCGGACAAACTTTTCAAGGATTTCAATTCTTGCTCAATTTAAGTATTATTTTTTCTTACCAGTTTATCGAGAAGTTCCTGAACGAGTCAGAACACGGGGTGATCCTAATGAGCTTCGGTTCCCTGATGAAAACGTCTAGTATTCCCAAGTACAAAGAGGAAATCATAGTAAACGCGCTAGCCAAGCTAAAGCAGCGGGTCATCTGGAAGTTCGAAGGGAGCGGGGAGGAGGGCACGCTAACTGGCAATATACTCAGAGTCAATTGGCTGCCCCAGTATGAACTGCTTCGTAAGTTTATCCCTTATTAATTTACATCATGCTAAAAATTCAATGCAACACATATAGATGTTTAAAATAGTTATTTTAAATGTTTTACAGAGCACAAGAAGATAGTAGCGTTTATCGCACACGGAGGTTTGCTGGGCATGACGGAGGCGATCTCTGCCGGCAAACCGATGGTGGTGGTGCCATTCTTCGCGGACCAGCCAGCCAACGCCGCGGCGGCCGCGGATGCCGGCTTCGCTACCGTGCTGCCATACACTGAACTTACTGAAGAAAGACTGACTAAAGCAATGGAATTTGTTCTGAGCGATGAGTAAGTTGATTTTTTCTTTTGCTTTAAAAAGTTTACAAATCGAGATTAACTATTAATGTGGAATTACGCATTTTTTTGAAATGTAAATACAATGCAGAATATATACCTAAACAAGGTTCCTTTTTAGCTTTGAAAAAAATCCTTTCTTAATCTTTTCAGATCTCAACTAAATGCACGTCGCGTATCAAGCATTTGGCGCGACAGACCAGCAGACCCTCTAGAGACAGCGGTGTACTGGACTGAGAGAGTGATACGCTGGGGCCATCATGCGCCGCTACACTCGCCGGCAAGAGACATGCCTTTTTACCAAGTCGCCTTACTAGACGTTATCGCCACACTAGCTGTCGCCATTTTGATTTTACTGGCGATGTCATGGTACATTTTGTGTAAAGTCTTTCGACTTTTATTTACTAAAGAAAGTAAATTTAAAACGCAGTAACGTTGAATAAGAGTGAATTAGTGAATAGTACGGATTGCTTTAATTATTTTGTTGTTGTTCATTGTAGACAATATTTATGTAGTTAGGTTTTAGTGTTAAATAGTATAATCAAGCGATATTTATCAATTACATTTTGTTTCATTATGTTTGGTCAATTTTTAAGTTCAATGCCGAATATTTGCTAATGTAGGCAAATCACTATATTAATCACTATATTAAAATTTTTTGACCGACTTCCCAAAAGAAAGAGGTACTCAATTCGTCTGTATGTTTTTTTTCCATTAGATTGGGTGGTAGATCCAAAGCATTCCCTCTTATCACTGTTGGATCGATTCTAATTTAAATGTGTACAGTCATTTGCAATAGTTTTATTGTAACTTAAATATCTAATAATTTAAAGCATAACAGATAACATCGTTCTTCACAATTTTTTAGAAACTAAAAAGTCAATACAAAACAATACTAGCAATGCTAAGATAAATTAACTGAGAACAATTAAAAATATATTACTAAATATTAGCTTGTTATCTATGTCTAGACCGTTATCATTAACATGTACACTATGTACGAATAAATATTATGATGAGTACCTGTTTTAACAATTTGCAAGTCAGTTCCGGATGATAATCACTTTAGGCGGAAGAGGTACATTAATCGCCACCTAAACTAATGTCTGTCAGTTCTCTAAGATAGGTGGGGTTAGTAACGCATGCGTGATGCGATTTATAATTCTGTTAGTCCTGACGTTGTTAACAAGCCGCGACGCAGGCGACTGTGCGCGGATCCTTGGTCTCTTTCCGCACATCGGCAAGAGCCACTTCATGGTGTTCGAGCCTCTTCTACGAGCGCTTGCTGAACGTGGTCAACATGTCACTACCGTTTCCTTTTTCCCGCTCAAGAATCCACCGGCGAACTACACGGACGTGGTGCTCGAAGGTGATGTACTAGATGGTATGAGCTCAATAGATGTATCCTATTTCGAAGCATCTAACTCACTCATGACCGTTCCTCTTGTGAATACAATACTAACGAACATATTCGAGATAGGAATAACCAGTCAATTAGCGTTACAAACATGCGAAAGTATAATAAATCAGTCATGGAATCATCATCATCAGTGATAGAAGCCTTAAAGCAAGAATATGACGTGGTTATTGCGGAAATCTTCATTGGTGATTGCATGTTAGCATTAACACATGTTTTCGGTATCGAAGCTCCTGTCGTGGGCATTTCATCATGTGCTATAATGCCATGGACTTAGGCCAGATTCGGATTACCTGATAATCCCTCTTATATACCATTATTACCACCATACACAACTAATATGACGTTCATCCAACGACTGGAATCGTTTATTTCGAAATTATACGTAGATAATATGTACTCTAAGATACAAATGAGCGTGCTATGATTGAGAAGCACTTTGGTGTAAAGATCCCGGACTTGGAAGAAATAAGCAAAAAACGAACATCAGTGTTGCTGGTGAATACTTTTCACACGCTTAATGGAGTTCGACCCACTTTGCCAGCTGTTATTGAAGTTGGAGGAATGCATCTGGATCATTCTAAAAAATATTGCCGTGGGTAAGTTATAATTAAAACAATGACTGTTTTTTTTTGGTCGTGGGATAATGAGTACGCTACAGATAACTTTAATTCTTTATTGTTGACACTTTATCAAGTGTACGTGGTGATACGAAAGCAAAGATAACAATTTGTCATGATAGCCTTTACTAGTATAAGCAAGTATAGTATTTAAAGACCTGAGTCATATTTTAATCAGGTCTTTGAAACATGCAACGATAGGCGTTGATGGGTACATACCATTTTATGAAACATTTTATGTGCTTAGTTCATTATATTATATGTTTAGCTACCTAACATTTTCTTTCCTACCAGTATGTCGAAAAGTTCCTGAACGAGTCACAACATGGCGTGATCCAGTTGAGTTTTGGTTCCATAATCAAAACGTCCAGTATTCCCAAGTACAAGGAGGATATCATAGTTAATTCACTGGCTAAGTTGAAGCAGCGGGTTATCTGAAAGTACGAAGGGAGCGGGGAGGAGGGTACGGTCACCGGCAATATTTTGCGAGTCAATTGGCTCCCACAGTATCAACTACTACGTAAGTTTATCCGAAAACTATTTTATTAAATTTACAACATGCTAAAAATGGAGTACCACGACCACATTTGCGATTATTAAAAACAGCATTTGTTTGATGTTCCACAGAGCACAAGAAGATAGTAGCGTTTATCGCACACGGGGGTCTGCTGGGTATGACGGAGGCGATCTCAGCCGGCAAGCCGATGGTGGTAGTGCCGTTTTTTGGGGACCAGCCTGCCAATGCCGCGGTAGCTGTTGAAGCAGGCTTTGCTACCATCTTGCCTTTTAATGAACTCACAGCAGAAGCTCTGACTAAAGCATTAGAATTTGTATTGAGCCCTAAGTAAGTTATTTTTATTCAATAATATTCCACACATGTCCACAGTTATTGCATGTTCGTATCTCGCAATATATGTACTATATTCATTACAAAACATATTTCATTTAAGACCTATAAAAGAAATTTTTCTTCTTTTCAGAACTCAATTAAATGCCCGTCGAGTATCGAGTATTTGGCGCGACAGACAAGCAGACCCCCTAGAGACAGCGGTGTATTGGACTGAGAGAGTGATACGCTGGGGCCATCATGCGCCACTGCACTCGCCGGCAAGAGACATGCCTTTGTACCAAGTCGCCTTACTAGACGTTATCGCCACACTAGCAGTCGCCATTTTAATTTTATTGGCGATATCATGGTACATTTTGTCTAAAATCTTTCGACTTGTATTTAGCAGTGGACGTAAATTAAAAACGCACTAACTTTACAATTACATAATAATAAGAGTTGCCTTTATAATATACTAGCTTACGCCCGCGACTCCGTCCGCGTGAAATAAAAACAAGTAACTAAGTAGCCTATGTGTTCTTCCAGACTATGCTCTAAACCTGTATCAAATTTCATGGAGATCCGTTTAGGCTACAAACGCTAGCAAACATCCATCTAAACTTTCGCATTTATAATATTAGTATGATGTGATTAAAATAATACATAATTACTTATATGCCCAATGTTTTAGAAATAAGCATGACTAATAATTTTGATATCACTGTGTTCGTTTATGATTCATAGATTTTATGATTAATAGGATATTTTATCTGTACTAATATAATATAGGAAATATATGTATTTTTTTTATATATTCGATTTATGTAAAAACTACTGGGCCAATTTAAAAAAAAATTCACCACTAGAAAGGTAATTTATCTATGAGTAAAATAGGCTATGTTTTTAATTATTTTTTTAATTCCACACGGACGAAGTCGCGAATAACAGCTAGTCTTATCACATAATTGAAACTGAATATAGAATCGCCTAGAAAAATAAGAAATGGTATATTTTATATGAACTTTATGTATTTAATTTATGCTATAACAGTGAAAAAATTATATTAAGTGTATGTATTAGATTCTCACATCAAGGAAATAAAAACCAAAAACATGAAATAAGTATTTTATTATAATTCCAAAAATATATAAATAAGATTTATATGAGAAAATGCATTAATTTCTTTAATTTAAATTTTGATCCATCAAATTGTCAAGTCAGTAGAAGTACACATCGTGGACTTTAGACCACATATGAAATCCATTTTTATCTGTTGATTTTTCATAGGTTTTTAACATAAAAAAACAAGTAATTAACAAAAAAATGACAACTGTATAATATGATAATTACAACAAGCAATACATTAGAAATATATATGTACTTATACAAGATTGATGTAAATAAAATTATGTAGAGATAAAAGCACTAAAGCCAAGTAGACTGACAGATATTGTCATTTTGCCGCGCATTTCCACAAAATTATTAAATGAATGAACGAATGACAGGAGAATGTCTTCTAATGATATACAAACCATACATTCTCCATACCATACACTGTTCTATTTTTTAACAGACAAATTATTTATACAGATGGTGGTCCCACCAAAAACATCAAACACAGAATTAGTGTAATTCCCTAGAATATCGCTTCCCATAGTTAATTTGGCGACGCTCATCATTGACATATTAGTCAAAATTAAGAATTATATTAAAGCAAGGTAAAATATAGGATGCTAAATGCTTTGTATTAAAATTACAAAAGTATATTTTAATTAAATAAATAGAATTTAAGCATTATTGTTTTTTTTTTATTTTCTCATTTTTCAAAGCCACAATCTTAGTATATATCAATATTCAATATTTTCAGCAATAATAGCGTTTTATATATCTTAATGATAAATGCAGGGTACATATATGTGTGTCGTTAAAAAACAATAATAAAGATCAGTAACTACCCACAGTTCTGACAGTTTTAAATGAAGAGTAGTACTGTTTGGTTGAAACTGTATAGGCTGTCAATTGAACGTTACAGTTAAAATTTTGCTTACATAGTTTTAACTGATCAGTTCAACTGTTCAGTTAAAACTGTCAGAATTCGACATATGATAGGTCTTATAAGGTAAATACATAATTTTTCCTAAAGCTTTAAGCTTTACATGTTTCATAATTTCTTCCGCTATTTTTAAATTTTTATTTTAGCTCCCATTCCAGATATCTCTTCACGCAAATTTTATTTTTTAACGCAACAGCATTTGTAGATTATTTTTACAATCTGAAATGGGTAGTCATTATCTATTTTATTCCAAAATAAAATTATTACCGAAATTGAATTTTCAAAAATCCTTTAAAAACATTGACACATTTAAACAAAAAGCTATGAGTCATTTTATGAATAAAAATGTGTAGACTGTAGTGAAGTAAAGAGTGTGTAGGTAATTTTTTTAGTGTAGCTTGCATAGAAACCAGTATGGGAAACTGGTAACACTATATTTTTTTTGTTAATTAGAAAATAACCGTGTATATGCTGAAGCTGAAGTTTCTATATATTTTTAGGATACCAATTCACTTTCGAGCTTTTTTATTTTAATTGGAAGAATCTGTACCATCTCCTTACAGAGGCTGTATTCTTCTTTCATCATAGATGCTGCCTCTTCATCACTTTTACAGATATCAACCACTGCTTGGTATGACTCGTAACTCTTTTTAATATTACTCAATTGCATAGCTTTATCCAAACCAATTCTTTTCATACTATTCCTCCCCATATACGCATAAGCACTTACAACTGGCCTTATAACATCAAACTCTAATTTCCGAGGCAATTTTCCATTTTTATCTTTAATAGAATTTAAGAAATGATCATAATTTTCAATGCTTTTCTCACATAACATGTTGATTTTCTTTAAAGCGTGAGGCGTTGGTTTCTCAGAAGTCTTGTTGACTTTATCCAATTTTATATTCAATATCTCCGAGTACACTTCACCTAGTTCGTACCACAATTGTCGACAGTACTGTAAATAGTACACCGGGTTGATTTCCTTAACAAGTTCTTCTAGCATGTCCACACGACGTTTGTGCATTTTCGCTTGTCTTTCGTCGTCTTCTTCGAAAAATGCTAAATAAGCATATGATTGAGAACTGTCCTGTGTTAGTTTTATATAATCTGATGCTAGTGAATCCAATTTGTAGTATTCCTTCGCTTTGTTCAACCATGATTGACAGTTGAGAAATACTTCCCGAGCATCCTGATACATTAGTAGGAATTTATCTGTCACTTTGTTCTCATATTTGGAAACATCTAATTCTGGAAAATTGAGATTCTTTATGTCTCCACCGCAGATATTTTCAGTATCTTCTAGATTCAAATTTGACATATCTGGAAATATAGATAAAATACATATTAATAATAAAATAATCATACTAATATTATTATTGCAGATGTTTAAATACATAGCCATCCATGTTTGTAACTAAGTATCTACAAATTGGTGTAATTTAAAAGATCTCAATGAAATTTAGTACAGATAAAGACCATAGTCTGAAAAACCACATATGCAACTTTTTTAAATTCATTCAAAGCAGCGAGGAAATGCTATGAAAGATAATGGAAAAACCAGTAACAAAACTAAAAGTAAAAACATTATGGCAAGCTTTTTGATTTACAGATGGCAGGGATAAACTTATTATGTGTGTTATTGTACACAATTATACAACACACAATTTGCAAACTCAAATGCAGTTACTAAAACTACTAAATTTTATCAAGATTCATTTTTCTGAAGTAAAACTAAGGCATATATCATGAGGAGTAACAAAGTCAAAATAACTAAATATAGAGTAAATAAGCCTATGGGATTTTAATTTTTTACCAAAAGAACACTTGAGAATTTCTATTTCAAATTGTAAATCAAACATATTTGAACAATATGTGATGAAATTGTATATACCTGTTATAGCATCTTCTAATCTTTCTGCATCATCCATCAGTCTTGTTTTAGATGCACTCATCAATAACAGACAGTACTTTGCCCAACATCGAGCAACATCTGCAGATCTGTGCTTAAAAGTCTCCAACTTAGCCAAGTGTGCATCCTCATTACTCTCCACCGCTTGCAAACTCTGCTCATGTTGTTCAAGAATAGTAGATGATGCAGCCAATAAATGCCTTGATTGGAAGAATCCATTCTGTTCAGCAAAATACTGTGATAAAGTTGCAGAATTTAAAGCCCAATCAATCGGTTCATAATCAGAATATTGCAACTGCCTTCTTAATGTAACATAATAGTAAATGGCTGCTTTTAAATTCTGTTTCAAAGCCCAAAATACTTGTGCCAGATAATATAAAGTTAATGTATGTGCTTTCTCAAATAGTAAGAAATCATCAGCACTTGTTTCACCAGCATTGTTTACAATCTGCTCAATTGCCAGAGGTATTTGTAAAGTGCATTTAAAATTCTCATACAAATCTTTGGCTTTCACTAGGTATTCTCTAGCTTTCTCTTGTTCACCGCGATTGGACCATAAAATACCGAGATTATTATACACACTAATAAGAGTTCTAACAACCTCAGGTTTAGTTGCATTTGGCGTTAACAGTTTCTCAGCTTCCACAAGAACATTTTCACTTGCAGTTAATTCTTCGGTCTCCATATCTATTATACCGATATTTAAAAGTACGGTTCCCATCATAGCGTCAAGTTTGACTTTATCAATACACTCTTCGGAGTTCGACGGGGATATTGTTGGAAGTGATACATACATATTTAGTAGAATAGCTTTAGCCTTATATTTAGAAGCGTAAGGCTCGTTTTCCGGATCATTTTTACTGTCCTCGTCGAGTAATTTACGAACTTTTCCATAATTTTCTTTGAAATCGTTTATGATTTCTTTTGCAGTCATATTTTCTGTTACGATCATTTTATGTTCAATTATACAATTGTTATGCTTGGTTTGCTAATTAAATTTATGATATTCTTAACAAATTGAATTTGAATAGGTTAATGTAATTAATTATAGCCGTAGTGGGTTATTTAAACAATTATTTCTTCATCTCGAAGAATATTATTTGATTTACATAAAAATTTGTCAATTTCTGTTGTCACCATTGTCACTTGTCAGTTTGTAAGCTGTCTTCTGTCGCCGGCTGTCACAAAGATTTGTCATCGTAAAAAATAAAAAGACTTGTTTTTATAAAAAAAGTAACCCTGAAATGTAAAATAAATGAAAACTACTGTTATAAAAAAAGGTATTTTCTAGAGCTAGCGAGGAAAGTTAAATATCGTTCATCGTTGTTGATCTTGCCGAAGACGGCGAAACTTTTGTTTTGTCTTGTAACTCATTTGTGTTGAATAATTTGTTATTAATTTTTCTTTTAAAAGTTAAAGGTAAAATTTTGATTTCATCCAATTGAGTTGACGCGGGAAAATAAATTCTTCCTAGGATGCTTTATGGGTACTAATTACGGCTAAGCACAAAGATAATAATTTTGCTCAAATTTAAATAATTTTATTTTAATGAGTTTTTACTTGGTCCTTCGAGATTTTATTTTTACGAATTTGCAGTAAATATCAAACCAACACAAGCTCACAGTAATATTTTTAGTATCCTTTGAAGTCAACTGCAAGTCAATTCGCTTTGCTGTTCACTAACTTCATATATTTATTGGGAACTTCCTAGATGGAGCACAAATCATGGTTCATATTCCACTCTCAATAAAAACTCAGTCTACCCAATAGTTGTATTATAAATACAATGCAGGTAATAAACATTTGAGGCATCATAGTTTAGTCAAAAGCCTTAAGGAGTAAATCAAAACACATTTCAATTTGCACTGTTTATTCTTAAATAAAATAATGTTAAAAAAATTACAACTTCTTAATATTTTTTGCTAGCAAGTAGCACCGGGAATAAAAAGAAGTTCAAAGTGGAAACGACAAGGCGATAGTAAATTCTCAACAGAATTACTGTTATATTAATGAAGCTGAATATAGATTGGACCCCAAATAAAATGGATTTTTAAATTGAAACAACTTTTAATGATTTTCTTAATGTTAAGACCTTTTGTTGTTGCTTAGTTGGTATATGATTTTCACATAATTAAATTATTGGGAAATTTAAATGTTTTCAATGAAAACAACAAAGGAAAGATTGCATTTCCACATAAGTATGAATGATATGTAATCATAATTTACTTCGAAAATTTTAGATTAAACAAAAATTTTCATTCATAATTATACAGGCACTTTAAATAAATATTTCTAAGTCAGATTTGACACAAAAAATATGATTATTATAAGTCCATATTTTTGATTTTAACTTGAATAATTTTTAGGACACTCTAGGAGGGCGCTAGTTAGCTACGATTCATTAGTTTGACATGCCCATTAGATCAGAAATCATGGTTGGTCTAAACAAAATCATTACTAAATGCAAAACATTTGTATAATTAATCATGGATCACATGAATTACGTCAATTTAAAGTTTGCAAACTGATGTATACAGTATTTAGTACTTTTAGTACATAATCTAATTAACTCATGTACATATTGACTTGGCTCACGGCCAAATTCTGAAACGAATATCAAACTTCGCTTCGTAAGCGCTGCTTACATTCTAACAAACATTTTATTGGAATTTGGAGTTTTTATTGCTTCATCAATTAAGACACTGTTACATATTTAAATGTCGTTTCAGTATTCGGTCGAAATTCTTATAAAATAAGTAACATATTACTAACGTAAAAATTACTGTATCCTTTCTTGTTTGTCTCTCTTCCAATGTCAATGAATATATTCATATCCAAACTTGATTATTTTGGTAGATTTTAATGCAAATTTTGCTATCAAAGCTTATAAAAAAAGTAAACTTAAAAAGTTAATTAAATAAGCCTGCCATTAACAGAATTTCCTAACTAACACATTCAAATTCGTAAATATTTCTCTCTACCCCCTTAATAATAAGTAATCATTTTAAAACTATTAAATAACATTATTTACATTGTACTGTTGACTGTATAAAACATTATTCTTAGATGCATCTATAAAATACTTCAAGTTTCGATTTTCTATGAATAAGGGGGTTATGGTACAACATGGACATAATTTGTTTATGCAATATTTGATCATATGGAATTAAAAAAGACATATATAGCATTTAATAAAAAGTCTAAAATTGAATATGCAGTAGTTTAAGAAGCTGTTAATATTTAAGAATAGATGGCGCCAGTATCTCTGCGATGTGTTAATTCAAGTATTTTATTTATAATTTCCTCTTTAAATCTCATCAACCTGCATATTACTTCATTAAACATTATTGATCAAATATCAGATAAAGAAATTTGAAGTCAATACCATCACTATTTACTACTAACTAATAACAATGCATGTCACAAAACAGTGCAATCTACGTGGATACTGGCAAAGCCAAGTATAGCCTGTATTAGGAAACTATATCTGTTTCTGGTTCATCTGTTGACATTGTTCGGGGAGGTGTGGTGTGTGTAAGTTGTGAGAAAACTTCTTTTTCACCTAAAGCTAACGGATCGGGTTGTGTAGCCGGAGATGGAACATACACCAACATCGGTGTTGGTGACACCGGCCTAACAACACCAGCAACTGTCCCTTCCTGCTCTTCTAAGAACCTATCCATATAATCTGTGTGACCTGGGTGCAATGTGTACTTTTTCTTTTCTAGCCGAGTCTTATTAGCAAATATATCATGTCTCTCTGTCTTTTTCCATATGTAATAGAACTGTACAAGCTCACCGACTGACCGTGTCCTGACTTTTTGTTGTCGTATTTGATGAAAATCTTTACCATGAGCTTTAATGCCATTTTCAAAGTTACGACACTCCTCTTCTGACCACACACTTGCATGTGCAGGAGTTTGTGCCATTATGCGTCTTCTTCTTAGTGCTTCTTCCACATTGTGACCACACTGCTGTAATAAAAACAAAGCCTCTTCATCATCACGAAGTTGTTTGCCCTTTGGCACAGCATCTACACCTGCACCTGAGTTCATAGTACAAATTTTCTTCATATAATCCTCAATTACTTTCTCTTCTAAAACACTGGGATTCCATAATAATTTATCTTCATTTTCATAGGGTAATGCATCATCGTAACTGCATAAACCTTCAGGTATAGCTGCTTGATAGTCGCTACCGACCATAATTGTTTTTTTCCAATCATCCTCATCGGGACTGTAATCACAATCATCTTCCTCCTCGGAAGGTGGACGAGACCCCGATCTTAGACACCGTGTCGCCTCAGGGCTAGCTGTTTCATTATATAACTGCTGTAATGCAGAATCTGGCTTCTGGTTTTCTTCCGGTACCACTTCAGGTACCTGTTCAGGAATAGGCTTCTCCATATTTCTATTGTAACCATATAGAGCTAGAAGTTCCTCCAAGGGCATATCACCTTCTTTCTGGAGACTATTCAGTTCCGCTTTAGGGTCCTGATGTTCTCCCGCCGCCAAAGCTTCTTCTTCGTCTAGTGTTCTCTCGTCATCAAAATCATTTACCATCATATCAATAGTAGGTTCGAATAGAGACTTGTCGTTCCCCACATCCATGCTGGCATCGTGTTCGCTTACACTGGCTACCAGCGCGCAATCTGACATGACTATCACCAACTATCACGGTGATTGAACCACCGAAACATGACAAGTTATTAGTATTGAATCCTTTCTTTTAAATTCTAAGGTGTGTAAATAAATAGAAAACATCACAATTATCACATATTACACTACTTATTTTAATGAAATGGAATTTACAAAACAAAAATATTTTGACACGGAATCTACTTTACTATGGAGTTGTCAACATAAAGTCACAGATTACCAATATAATTTTTTTATGTCTTAGCAACAGATAATAAACTTCTTTTCCATAAAATAGAAATGTGAAAATAAGACAATAAATTATCATTGTAGCAACACTGTGGTAAGTCCCGTAATGTCATTGTCAAACTTTAACTGTCAAATTGTGCTTTATGTTTCATGTATTTATATATTCTTTTCTTCAGCGACTGCGGCAAATAATTTATACTTAGTAAAATGTGTTCTCACTTATTTGTATAAATTACTTAACTGAGACGATGGTTAAGTACTCTATAGATTCCCAAGAATAGTGTTTAGCTTCCGAATGTAACCCAAAAAATTAAAATGTTTCGAAGGTTTTTGGTACTTATTGTAGCGATCGTTAAAGTGGCACAAAGTTTTTCAGATGTCGGAAAATGGGATTTACCGCTTAATGGGGTAAGATAGTCTTAGCTAGTAGTATATTCTTTTCTGTTTTAAGTGCTTAAATATCTTTTTTCTCTTCGGTGAAAACCCTTGATTAAAGATTCATTACAATTATATTAATAACAACGTATTATCGATAATATTATGTAGGCATTATATTTTAGCCCTACATAACTGTTATCTAAGTTAATCGCAACAGTTACAGTTATGTCCATCATTATTGTAACTGTACTAGTAAAACATTTTTTATTTTCAGAACTTTTGTGAGTTTACCATCGCCAAGTCTCTGTTTAAAGATTCAGAATTACGTGTTGTTGGTAAGTGTACAAAGGAAATCAAGGAATTTACATTTTAATACAACAAGTAGTTTTAAGATTCTTATTGTCATATAATTGTTATTTTAATTACAGTGCACTGTCAAGAATCAGCGAATGTCACAGTGGCCTATCAGTGGGAGCAGAGTCCCTGTTCACCTGATTATTTCCACTACTTTGAAGAGGTTTGTGTTTTCACTAATAATTTTTATTTTCAACTATACTATCATAAAGAGGACAGATTTGTATTTTTGTGTGTATTAAAACTCAAAACCTACTGGGCCTATTTCTAATATTCTTTTACCATTAAAAAGCTATATCATCGGTAACATAGGATGTGCTTTTTATTATTTCTTAATTTCAGTCTTCTTCTTCTTCAGAAGAAGAAGAAGACTCGCGAGCAACAGCTAGTTATAAACAGCAAAGTAATTTGTAGAAGAATAGAAAAAAAATGATACAAAATGTCTTCAATAAAACTATTATCTAATATCTATTACCATTATTTAAGCTCTCTTCCAGTATTAAATCTAAAGTTTCCAAATTCATGTAATCATAAAGAAAACATTTGCAACATTTATTGGAGTGTTTGCAAGTAAATTAGTCCCAAGGTTAGAATAGTAGTAATTAAAATGGACGATTTTGTATGTTAAAATTTTTGTAATTATGCTAAATGTATGTAATGAAGATAACTATGATATGGACATTTTTAAATACTGTTATTATTCAATCAATGTCTATACTAATATTATAAAGAGGAAACATTTGTATTTTTGGATTTGTTTTTACATGAATCGAATACATACTTTCGATTATAATATAAACTACTTGTTCGATTTTCAAAATTCTTTTACTGTTAGTAAGGTAATTTATCTGTGAGTAACATAGGCTACATTTTTTTATTTGTTGCGAACGAAGTTGCAACAGCTAGTGAAATGTAAAGTTTCTATTTATTTATTCCAGAATATTGTTGATTGCTCAAATCAATTATACAATGCTCCAGTTAATGAGATATCAAATGCAAGTTCAGTGCAAGTGAAAAAACTCAGTTGCCATGGGAAGGAGTCTATTTTCCTCTACGATGTCAAGGACAAAGTTACCGAAGGCACAAAGAAGCCGGCTGCTTCCACATCGGTAAGTATCATAATGCAAAAGATCTTCTAAACTAATATGATTTGTATTTTTATATGTATTAAATTAACTTAAAAACTACTGGGCCAATTTTAAAAATTCTTTCACCAATAAAAAACTATGTTATCAGTGAATAACATAGGATGTGTTTTGTATTATTTTTTTATTTGATGCGGACGAAGGCAGCATATTATTTTATAAAAATAGTGAAATAACGTGCCCATTTACTTATATATTATTCCTTAAATTATATAATAACATTCATGTCTATAACTCAGTGGTGTAGGCAGAGATTATGGATTTATGTATAGTTTCTTATACTAATGTAAAGAGTTTAAACTTGTATTTTTATATGTGAAGAAACTCAAAAACTACACTTATTTAAAAATTTTTCACCACTAGAAAGTTATGACTGAATAAAGTGGGATTTATATGTTTAAAAGTCTTTGCTTATTACTAGATTATTTTTAAAAGCGTCCCAAGAAGATATTCTTTGATACCCAGGTTTGATATGTCTGCATTTATATTTGTCAGTTATAAGTAATGTTAGTAGAATATTATAGCCTACTTCAATTTTATAGGGTTTTTATTTTCTTGTGTAACAATTCAGTTTAACTGATTATTATGTATTATCTACCACACCTAATTCTCTAGTTTACTCAACAATTTAATGTCCAAACATTAAAACTACATTAATGTTACAGGTTTATCTATATCTTTGTTACTTATAGATATGTAATAAAACACTTTTTTTTTAATTTGTGGAATTTTTCATGTAGTTTAAGTTAATATATATAATAAAATTGAAGTGTCTGTTAGTAATATCAAAAGAAAATTTCCACATTTCGGGAAGATGATGTATTTGCATTGCTAATAACGGATATCGCATTTAAAAATTTTTTGTCTGTCTGTCTGTTCGCTAGCCACGTTTCTTCCGAGTAATCTCTGGACCTTACTGAAGGGTAGCCGACAGACAGGCATATTATAGGCTACTTTTTATATTAATATTGCCTGGACGAAGTCGCGGGCAACAGCTAGTTTTATAAATCATGTTTATATATATATTTTTTTCATCTATACTAATGAGGCAAAATTTGTATGTATAATAATAATTCGAAAACTACTAAGCCGATTTTAGAAATAATTTCAGCATTAAAAAGCTACGCGATCGCTGAGTAAGATAGGTTATTTTTTACTAGTTTTTAATTTCACATGGGCCAAGTCAGCAACAGCTAGTGTAAAGTAATTACACTCTCATTTGAAATTTGCATTATTTTAAACTAGCTTATGCCCGCGACTCCGTCCTTATGAAATTAACCAAAAACCTAAAAAGTAGCCTATGTGTTCAGCAGTTTAGGCTACAAACTCTTTCAAACATCCATCTACACTTTCGCAATAATAGTATGATTTTTTCAAGTTTTTTTTATCTTTTTTTACAGAAAATGCCCCCCTTAATAGTGGTGGAAAGAGAAGGTATATATGTATTCAGGATGATGGTGAGAACAAATACGGAGACTACAATGAATCTGTCAGTTGGAGTTGAGATGGTGGCACCCTCGGGATACTTGTCCGCAGCCATGTGGCCTCTCTTACCTGTAAGTGGTATATCTATACTAATATGCGAATTACTGCGTACATCTGGATAGTGGTGGCTTTGTTTTTTTTTTTAATTCCAAGTTTTCTATACTAAAATTGATCATCCCCCTTATCCTATTCCCGCAGGGTCTGCGCAAACGTGTTTTTGTCCTCCAAATAACTCTATCATACGTCATTTCAGTCATCACTCCCTTTTTGATTATGTCACCTTTCACGCAATCCATCCATCTCTCCCATACTAATATTATTAAGAGGTAAGAAATATATTTTTGTATGTATTCATGTAACACAAAAACTATTAGACCAATTTCAAAAAATCTATGTTATCAATGATTAACGAATATTTTTTATTTGACGCGGGCAAAGTCGCGAACAACAGCTAGCATACTATAATTGAAAATATATAGCATACTATATTTGAACTTTGTTATATTACACAAATTAAGGGAAGTCATTGGCTCCTGTAATACAGGGAATTAACCTAGTAAAGGAGCCAAGGATATACATATAATTGAACAAAATATCGAATTTAAAATTAGAAGTTAAAAAAACAATTGTATTTGTAAAATTATATTTGAATTGTGATATTGTATGTTTGTTTGTATAAATAAATAAATAAATATTAAGTTAACAATCGACTATAAATAAAACTATTGAGTGTGCGTGCTAGATGTTGTATTTAAGTTTTTTTTTATAGTTCTCGTATAAGCTATGGTTTTAGCATGTATATTTGTGTTAAGTTCTACGGCGTGATGTGCGGTGTGTACGCGGCACTGTGCTGCGCGTGGCTGGCGGTGTGCGCACTCCAGTGGCGAGACCTGCTGCGAATCCAGTACTGGATTGGCGCTGTCACGTTATTGGGTATGGTGGAAAGCGCTACATATTACGGTGTATACAGCGCTATTAATAACACTGGGTAAGTAACATTGTCTTGTGTCAGATGCTAAATTTTGGTTCTAACTTTCCCTTTTGTTATAAGGAAAGGGTCATAAGAAGATATGAATAAGATAGATGTTCATACAAATAGGAAAGGCAAACCTCTTGCGGATGTCTATGAGTTGTGGGCGTTTCGCTATTTTGGCGAATTAATTAGCTATTGTACGAATACTCTGTAAAATCTGTGCAATACTAAGACCATACAGAACATTGTGGAAGTAATTTCGTATTAATTTGAGTGTCCGAGGCCAATTCTAGAAATCTTATTTCCATGTTTTTCTAATCAGCATATGATGAGAAAAATTTGTCAAACTCTACATTACAAATGTCAACATTACCGTTACCATAATAACCTTGCTTTCGTAATGTTAGCAGCTTGTAATTTATGGTCCTTTTTCCACTTGAAGGTTTTATCCACTTTATCCTCTAAGTTTAATAGCGTGAAAATATACAACCTAAAGTAGTAAGTGTAGGGCTTATTATTACGTTTTTTTGATTAACAATTAACAGAAATGTACTAATATTTTGTATAATTTTAGATATTTCAACACTGAAGTGTACATGTTCGCGGAGTGGGTGTCTGTGGCGAAGCGGGCGCTCGCCCGCATGTTAGTCATTATTGTATCTCTAGGATTCGGTATTGTCAAGTAAGTCAATACAGTTTTGTTACTTTCATTTATTTCAAATAGTAATTTTTGGTAAAAACAATCTTTTCTAATCTGTATAGATTTAAAAGTAAGAATTACCTCCAATTGTTAACCCTCACATCCAAGGTTTCTTAAAAGGGGTGCTGTAAAATGTCTTCCATAATAACTCCTTCCCTTGGTAAAAGAGGAGACGCCGTAATCTCTTTCATAGTATGAACCTGTCATCTCCACCCCCTTTGTAAGATGGATGCCGAAGAAATGACGCCCATGGCGCGTATATTAGTTAACCCCTTATATAAAGAGGCCACAATCGGTGTCAAATGGTTATAGCGCGGATGGTGCTAAAAGCACGCGTGTGACGTTGTGTTTAGTCGTGTGATGTGTGACGTCATGTGACGCCGTATGGTGGTGTGTGAAGTC